TTGTGATTTTAGTCTGTACAAGATCCCTTTTTTTGCGTGTCTGACAGAGTGAACATTAAAATTTGGTAAAAAAAAAAAATACCCATAGATTGTTTTGGTTAAGACACATATCAAAAGTTAGTATCTTTTATTTTTGAAACTTTTTGCCTACACAGATTTAAGGGACCTGACCTCCCAACGCTACTTTTTACCCCTACCATGGCCTCATCCACCTCCTGGGGTATATAAGGGTCAACCTTTTACTCAACTCCACGAAAACCCATAGACCCACTTCATGAGCCTTCTCGAACAGGGGAAAATCAAACCAGAGGTGGGACAGTCAATGACTCGTTCAAGCTAGCACTTGCAGCTGTCGTCAGTGGCAGACTGCAAGTCAAGTTTAATGCGATTCTGTCGCTCAAAGAGGCCTTCGTTATCGTCTGTACTGACGACACCGAGGCTGAAAAACTCATTACCACCACTGCTTCAACCACTCTACGAGTTCAGGGATTTATTGTCTTGACTTCCCCAGCTCTGAGGGCCAGGAGAACTGTGTTCCTCAAGAGACTCTACAGGCTCATCACTGCCCAGACTACCGAAGAAATCAAGTCGTCCATTGAAGCACAGAACCCTTGGGCCAAGGTGGAATTCATTACCAAAATACCCAATGCCTCCTCCATGCTGAAGGTCACCTTCAGTGACGTCAACATGGCAGCCAGAGCTCTCGCTGAGGGACTGGCTATTCACTACTTCCACATCAATCCAGCCTTCATCGAAGCAGAAAAATTCCATCAAATTCCACAGTGTTCCAACTGTTACTCATACCTACATACCACTAAAGACTGCCCTGCCAAGAATAAGAAGTTCTGCTCCACCTGCGGCCAAGAAGGTCATGACTTCAAGGCGTGCACTACTGCCTCTCAACCTAAATGCTTGAACTGCACGAATGATCACCATACTCTTGCTGCCAAGTGCCCAACCAGACGAGATATACTTAAGAAACAACTTCAACAACAAAAAAACACCCACTGCACAAGCAACTACATATGCTGCTTATGGAAAATTTTATAGGGGTTACCTGTATGTATCTCAGCTTTACATGCATACAAGTAATCTCATTGGGAGACAACAACCATATTGTTTATCGTAGTCACCCCGTGTAGACATGTGAGAAAACTTAGCCACCCCTGGTCACTGCAGGTGGTTCCTTCGACCTCACATATCTATCCGAGACCAGTATGATGGGTAGCACCCGCAAGTACTAATTACTTGTGGACTGTATAGATTATATTAGTTTAACTGAATGAAGAGGGGGTATGGGTTGCACATGTACATATCCATCAAGGAAAAAACACTTGTATATAATACCACCACTTACCAGATATTCTCTGGTGGTCACTTGATGTAGCTGGATCACCCACAACCTATCCAAATACAACACACCTAACTGGCCAGTATCAGTTTGTTATAACTAGAGGGGTTACTTAACTGTGGGTGATTGATGCTCCTTATTTCCTCCATTCACTATCTCATTTCGATGTCCTGCTACACAGACACGGTTCTTATTCCAGCAGGACGAGGTATCCGTTGGTTTGTCCCAGTTTAGAAGTCGGGACTCCATAAAAACTTCACTATCCACGGGACAGGAACCACGAGGACTACACTTGTTCATTCGGAATAAGGCGACTTATTTCACTTCACACATTCTCTTAACTTAGTGTTATTATCAGCGATTACAATTCACACGACTATTTAATGTCTCATAGTTATTATGCACATTAGAGGTCACTCCATTAAGATCTGAGACCGATGAGCGATGATTAAATCACGGGTATTTTCCCTTGGACACACTCCATGGCGTCGCACCAGTCACCACCGGTCCTACCATTATTCACTAATTTTACCACTTTATTACAGTGGTCCCATAAATCAAGTTCCCTCACTCTTCACCAGGAACAGTTATGACACTTCCTATTATGAAGTGAGGCCTGTATTAATCCTTAGGCCGCTGTGAACGCCAATTTCCTGGTCCCATGCTTTCCCAGCCTCTTAACTCCATTCAAAACACTCCCGCTCCCGATGCCCCGTCTCAACCTCTCCCCTGCCCATCAGCGCAGGCGCAGAGCTTCCCTGTTGGTTCTATTCCATTTTCAAATACATTTTTTTGACCCATATCAATACATTAAACACCTATTAGGCACTATAGCTTCGGAACATTAAAATATTTTCCACACTGCTATTACCAAGTTTCAAGTAGATACTACCAAGATTCTTCAAGCCATGCAAGCTGCATATACCACTTCTTCGCCAGCTCTTGCTGGCGACTCCACCAAGATTCTTTACTTCATCATGTATGCTCATGTGCAGAATGTAGCTGAACCTGGTTCCTTCAACACCACAATCAACGAACTCTTCAAGCTCAACAACATGCCTGGTTTCACATTCCCTGCATCTCCACCTTCCACAGAGATCATAAAATCCACTGCAAATGTCGCCAACATTACCGCTGCTCCACAGCTACCACACCTTCCTCCCAACACAGAGATGGACCAATCAGAGACCACTGAGACGCCGGCCGATTCCACCAATGAGAGTCCACCAGCACCTGCTTCCACCTCCGTCACAACGGACCAATCAGACGCCTCACCTCAAACGTCTCAGCCACCAGCCAAGAAGGTTAAAACACAAGAGCCTTGGGATGCATCCCTATGTACTACCGCCACTCCTTCACAAGAAGTCCACTGCTTGCCTGGTATGTACTTCTTCACAACCAACCAGAATGAGAACGCAATGTACACTCCAGAAATTATTAAACGCCTCCACAACGGGACAGTCAAGTTCACCTGCGACTCAACTCGATCATTCACCACTGAATCCCTGATCAACCTACTCTCAAAAAGTCACCGCTTTGTGGCACTCTACTACACCACAAGGAAGAAATTCAGGACTCTTCAGAATGGGGCTGCCGAAGACGGTACCCTCATCTAGCAGGACTGTCAATGATCAATCATCGTGAAGGCAAGTTTCCCCAGCACTTTGCTGCCTGCTAAAGCTGGGGTGTGGCTCCAAAACGAACCCTGTAATTGCTGCCTCCGCCCTCCTATGCTGCTGAAGATGCTAAACGAGAAGATACTTCCTACTTGGGGAGTCACCGCAAGACAGAAGTCACCCTCCAACCGGAGGGCCCCAAGAAAGAATACAGAAGAAAGAAGAAGATGAACGGCACCCCCTGCCCGGGAGGCCACCGCCGGGTCGCCATCTAGAGAAGACCCGGGCCGAAGTACCGGCAAACCTACAACAACAACAACTTCAACTCCATATTGTTTCAGACCAGTGGTTCCCAAACTTTTTCAGCTTGTTACCCAATTTAACATGCCACATAAAGCATGTTACCCCTTTCACAAAATGTTGTTATTATTGATATATATGGCTAAATTAAAACACTTGAGATATTTTCTTTTATTTATTGTATTTGATACAATAATTGATACAATAATTTGATACAATTGTGCATCTCTAATGACTATTACCAAAGATGTCAAGAACATCAGTGGGATGGATGGAGTTGCATACTTGAAGCTAGTTTAGGAATTCTTGGCTTCATACCAGCTTGTCTACCTCGGCTGATGCTCACAGATAAACTGACAGTGTGAAATAGAGGCAGCCTCAGGAAGTGAGTGACGTGTACTGGACAGGTCGATCTGGGCTACTGAGTGACTTTTGTCCTGAAGCATACTTGTCAAAATACTTTTGGGTTTCCACACACTTAGCTATATATTTCTTCTTTTCTAATACTGTATATTAGTTTTTGATGTTTATTGTTATTTGGTTTAACTTTATTACTTACTTATAATAGGTTTACTTTACAACTTTATATACTAAGACAAAGTTAACAATAATCCTCATACCGGGTACCGCATTGTTTTCTTGATTTTCAGAATTCATAACTTTTTTTCTGTCACCTCCATTACCCCCCAAAAATGGTTAAATTACCCCAGGGGGTAATTTACCCCCAGTTTGGGAACCACTGTTTCAGACTATGGAACAATACTCTTCTCCAGGCTGAGGGACTGACCAACTCAAAACTTCAAGGGTGATGGACTGATTACATCGTCTTCAAGTCTCTTTTGCTTCTATCAACTTTTCTGTACTCGACTGTTGAAGCCTACTGTGTAGGCGAAACGTTTCGAAATAATGATACCTAACTGTTGCATATGTGTCTTACCTAACAACGTAGCTATGTGTTTGCCTTGGCCCGAGGACACACGTGGCAGTGATATCTCATGGATTAATTTCAGCCTAATCCAGTTTGAATACCCGCCTCAACAAGCAGTCTATATAGCAATGAAATCACGAAACAAGTAATTTTAAATCGGTATTTAAAGCGGGTATTCAAACTGGATGAGGCTGAAATTAATCCTTGAGATACCACTGCCACGAGTGTCCTCGGGCCAAGGCAAACACATAGCTACGTGCTGTGTGCTTGGTTCTTGTAGGATCAGTGGCGTAGTGTAAAGAAACACGCCCAACGTGTTTCTACCCTTGCTGGGAATCGAACCCAGACACTCGCCGTGTAAAGCGAGAGCTTTAGCCACCAGGCCTTAATTTTAAATGAGTTCTTGCTAATTGACCAGTTTTACCTATTCGGCATGCTAGACGTTTTGGTCCAAGGCAGCCAGCCTTCAGACAGGTGGTTTTCAGCTTTATATATTAGTAGCAGTAGTAGTTGTAGTCGTAGTAGTGCAGCAACCAAGGGAAAGTACGATTATGTGTCACTAGTCTGGCGTTGGCAACCACAGAAAACAACACACTGTATTATTCATCATCCACTTATACGCTTCTTCATCAATGATACGTCACACTTACACCTAATGCCTATCCTTTCCAGAATCTCCTTGCTAAGAAACAGCGAAAACTATTGAAATTGTATAGAGAATTTACTGGTGGCAGCAGTGGCTGGCAACGTCCAGGTGTTTGCTTGAGGTGGTTGGCAGGGGGAGAGAACCACAACAGAAGACCCACTCGCGTTGCTGCAGTAGTTTTGAGGATAACATTGTGGCAGGGTGTTACCAAATTACTTGCTCAGGTTGCCCTACAATTTTGTTAAGTGACTGGAACAGGGGGAGTGTTTACCCCGGGTGTGAGTACAAGGAGTGAACGATGGGTTCACCATTCTGCTCAGTTCTTTTCAAGGTAGGATAATTATTACACATTTTGAATGAGTGTTTAATTATTATAGTGATAATTAAACGCTAAATCATTCGTGTTTAATATACTGATCTATACTAAATACCGTCACAAGTTTTATTATTTGAAGAGATAATTATTTCCTTTGTGTATTTATCTCGTGTTTAAGCCGACTTATACACCTGGTCTATAAAGCCAAGTCTGAAAATTGCAAAATTAAAATATCAGGCATTGTTAGGTCAGGTTTCTAAACTTCGTCTTTGTGGAACACTAAAACTTTCTTAATGTTATTTCAAGAAAATATATTGAACGTTAAAATTAAAGATAATTGGCTTGTTTGGCCACTCTGACTCGACTTGCATAATCTAAAAGAAATATATTTACGAAATAGAAATAATAGGGGGATGGGACAATTCGAATTAGAGAGCTGAGGCAAATAAGCCCGGTGTATCTGATACAGTGAAAGGCAGAGAATAAGTAACTGTGATGTTGAGTGTATAATTAAGAGAGAGAAAAAAAACAGAATAAAATAAGAGGTTAAACAGTTGTGACTCGCGGATTCCTGTCCAATATAATTCTAGTGAACTGAAATAATCACAGATCTCATCAAAATTTTGAATATAGATTGGTTATAATACAATGAATGGATATTTATATACATTAATATATTTTTCTCTTTCTCTTATTTTTTTTTTTGTTTTACTACACAACGGTTTTACAGGGTTAAGTTATGATTTTCTACCTTTATTTACAAGCTGAGAGCTGTTGCCTACCTCAGCTCATTTAAGTCTTTTTATTATGAGACATACAAAAGGAAATAGGATGAAGTTGGAGTCATCTGTTGGCCACCGATTTTAAATTGTCAACCGACTTTATTACGTCAGTGTCATGCTGTGCGAACAAGTTCCAGACTCGATTATTATTATAATCATGGGGGAGCGCTAAACCCGTAGGATTATACAGCGCATGTTTGGAGGGGAGGCACTCGTGCTAAATTCAGGGAACCGGAGCACAGATCCAATTCCCTAGATCAAGAGCCCCTCACCAGCGTCAAGAAACCTCCCTTGAGTCCAGAATCGAATCATTCTAGGAATATATCTTAGTGATGTTCTTGGCAAGGGCGCAGCCAGAGTGTAGTTGCTGTTTGCTGCCTTGTGTAGAATTTGCCGCGGGGATCAACGCCCCCGCGGCCCGGTCCATGACCAGGCCTTGTGGTGGATCAAGGCCTTATCAACCAGGCTGTTACAGATGGTCGCACTTAAACCGACGTACGAACCACAGGCTGATCGGGTACTGACTAGTTGCCTGTCCAGCTCCCTCTTGAAAACAGCCATTTTGCTATTGGTAATCCCCCTTATGCATGCTGGGAGGCAGTTGAACAGTCTTGCACCCTTGACACTTATTGTACTCTTAGCGTACTCCTGACGTCCCTGCTTTTCATTGGAAGGGATATTACATCTCGTGCCGAGTCTTCTGCTTTCGTAGGGAGTGATTTTCGTATGCAGATTTGGTAGTAACCCGTCTAGGATTTTCCAGGTGTATATTATCATACACAAGTAACCCGCACATAGGAGAGGAGCTTACGACGACGTTTCGGTCTGACTTGGACCTGGAGTTTACCTGGAGAGAGTTCCGGGGGTCAACGCCCCCGCGGCCCGGTCTGTGACCAGGCCTTCTGGTGGATCAGAGCCTGATCAACCAGGCTGTTACTGCTGGTCAGTGTAATTTTGTAAATAGTCCAAGTCGGACCGAAACATCGTCATAAGCTCCTCTTCTATGTGAGGGTTTTGTGTATTGTTCCAGTCAAGGTATTGTGCCTTTTTGTTATTGATGTATATTATCATGTATCTTACATCGAGACGTCAAAACTTTAATGGAGACTTACTAACATTTATAGCTTAACTATCTCATATTGTTCTAACTTCATATGCTATTATATAACATTGTTATAACTTCATATATAATGAAGAAAAAGATACAATACCGTGACAGGAACAATACACGTATAACCCGCACATACGAGAGTGGAACTTACGAAGATGTTTCAGTCTGACTTGGACCAATTTTTAGTCACACTATCACTTGTTAACCCATCAAGAGAGGTTCCTTGATGTTGGTGAGGGGCTCTTGATCTAGGGAACTGGATCTGTGCTCCAGTTCCCTGAATTATGCCTGAATACCTTCCATCACCCCCCCCTCCCCTCAAAGGCGCTGCATAATCCTACTGGTTTAGCGCTTCCCCATGATAATATCACTTGTTATTGGTCTAAACCGGACCGAAACGTCGTAAGTTCCTTTCTATGTGTGGGTTGTGTATTCATATATAGTTACATAAGATTGTTATAACTTTACTTACAGTCATAAATAACATTTTGACGTCATAGAGCATTTTAATACTTTCATAATTATATAACACAAAGTATATACACTCGCAAAACATTATTATATAATGTACAATCGTATATTGTTACAATTGTACTGACAATATAACATTGTTGGAGTAAGCTTGCGTGAGCGTGTTAGGAGAGAGTGGAGACAAGTTTTTTTTATTACTTGTGCTGTTGGAGTGTGAGGAAAGTAACATGAAGGGATTAAAGGAAACCGGTTAGCCGGACTTGAGTCCTGGAGGTGAACGTACAGTACTGAGCTCTGAAGGAAGGGTGGAGATGGGTTGCAGTTTTTAACTGTAGTGTCAGCACGCCCCTGGCAAGACAGTGATGGAGCGAATGATGAAAGTGCTGCCATTTCGGGTCACCTTCCTCCGTGGGAAACGGCCTATATGTTAAGAAAATAATTATTATAGCTTTAAAAACCATGTAACATTGTTATAAGTTCATATTCAATCATGATTATTATAACTTACAATCGTTTATGATTGTTATAAAAATTTCTCCTTACATTCCTTCAAAACCCTTGTATCAAGTGGGTTTTCGATAACGTGGATGGGGTAAGAATACTCATGTAGGCTGGTAGTACATATAATATATAACGGGAAGTATGGGAAGCGCCAACAGCCGACCTGCCTCTCTCTGCTCCCTATCTTCGACTGACTCTCAAGTGCCTACGGGTGAGGGGTGTTTAAAATCCTGCTATGGTCAGCAGCAATATGAATAATCAGTGATTCATGCAGACAGTTGGTAGTGAGTCATCTACTGGTACACTGGTTACTGGTAACTGGTTACTAGGAACTGGTACTACTACTGAGAGCTCGGCGACGCTAACGTATGTCGTCCCGACATACAACTAATACAAACTAGAGACGGCAGGTGTACAGCTTGGGCTGATTCTATACAATGTCAAAGTACAAAACAATTGAACATTATAACATACATAAGTAGAATATTGGAATGGAAGCTTATGTAATTGAAACTGTAATAAAACTGTAATGCAATACAAGGTATAATGTAGCACAACTCATCGAATGAAACTCAACATTGGGATTACACAATAGAAGTGATAAAAAAAAATTTGATCGATCGATCTGTATTCATGTGATCTACGGATTCTGAGGAAGGAATATATACAAAGAAAGAAGTGTTTAACAGAAAGGCAGAATCGGTGCACTCAAATCTAGACTGTTAACTCTCAGAATTCGGAGAGAACGTGAACACAAAAAATTCTTGAATACTGATAAGTTGATACTGTAATTATTCATCTATACAGGTTATTTACATTTAACCCCAACTCTGCTAGGGTGAGATTGATATATGCAGAATGGGTGTCATCTCTGGGAGGATCAAACTCTGTTGCACTGGCTAACTCATGCTGTATTTGAGGCAAATCTGAATTGGTAGTAACAAATGATACTTGAGGATTTCTCAATACCTGTCATGTACGTAGGGAATAACGACATTCAGGTTGATCGTCTGACTGAGTATTGGAGGTAGAGAGTACAGGATCAGGAGGATTGTCAGAGTCTCTCACATTAGTCTGGGTTGGAACATCATTATCATCACATACTAACTTCATATGATCTAAATGCGATTCTTTATACTGACCAGTACTAATTTCTCTAACCTTATACTTATTACCAGTGATATGTTTAACTACTCGATAAGGACCAACAAACTTTTGATCAAGCTTAGGCATTGCAGACGTTTTGTTAAAGTTAGTCAGCATAACTCTTGAACCTACTTTGATTTTGGATGGCTTTGCTCGAGTGTTTGCGACTCTTGTAAATTCTGCTGTTGATTTATGAAGTGTTTCATGGATTCTTCTAAAAACACTTTGAGCTAAGCTGGTACGAGTTGCTATGAAATCATCAGGGTTGTAATTTGGTTTCAGATTAGAATATAGCAACTCCTAAGGCAAACGTTTATCTACACCATACAATGCATAATGTGGAGTGTCACCTATAGAAACATTGTAAGCAGAATTTATAGCACACTGCACATCAGGTATAACTTCATCCCAAGTTTCACTGTTGGGATTGATAGTGGCTCTCAAGACATCAAGTACTTTCTTATTGGTACGTTCCGCTATCCCACCACTGCCACCATTTGTCAAGTGGGTTTTCGATAACGTGGATGGGGTAAGAATACTCACGTAGGCTGGTAGTACGTATAATATATAACAGGAAGTATGGGAAGTGCCAACAGCCGACCTGCCTCTCTCTGCTCCCTATCTTCAACTGACTCTCAAGTGCCTACGGGTGAGGGGTGTTTGAAATCCTGCTATGGTCAGCAGCAATATGAATAATCAGTGAGTGATTCACGCAGACGGTTGGTAGTGAGTCATCTACTGGTACACTGGTTACTGGTAACTGGTTACTAGGAACTGGTGCTACTACTGAGACTTGCGAACAGTTCATCAGTGACCATTGTTTATGATTGTTATAACTTCATATACAATCATATGGTTGTTATAACTTCATATACAATCATATGATTGTTATAACTTCATATACCATGGTAGGTAAGAAACATAAGCAACAGTTAGGCAACTTCATTCCGAAACGTTTCGCCTACACAGTAGGCTTCTTCAGTCGAATACAGAAAGTAGGCAGG